TTGCAGTCGCCACTCGCATTGGCGCACAGTGCAAGAGTCAATCTGTCCTTCATAGGTTTGTTTCCTGGCATCATCTTCTCCTCTGCCGTTATATATGTTCTTTTCGGCATCTTTTTCCAGATCAGCGCTGTCTCATCACAGTTGAAGACTTGCTGAGAGATGTATCCTTTGGCTTTTATTAGATTGGAAAATGTTTTTATGTAATCCTCAGCTGCCTTAATATCTGATCTTGCTGTCTCATTATGTCTGACAACGGAGTGAATACTGCTCCTCTTTTTAAAATTTTCAAACCAGCTCCGTCTGGCTTTAAATGACTCTTCCGATGCCTCGTCGATGGAAGTCAGCGGGGTTTGCTTCAGCAAATCTCCGTAGATCGCTCTTGCCTTCTCGCAAATGATGGTCTGCGCCAATTTATCTCCTTGGATATGCTTTCCCACACCATCAGCAGTTTCTCCATATTTTCATGAAGGGAGGTTCGCAGCTTGGAAATTATCGTAATTCCCTTAGCCGGCGTTACACTCTTTACCGACTCCTTCCGTTTAAGCACAGAACATATCATGTACGTACTACGGTCATACTGCCTCGACAAGTCAACAACTCGAACACCTTACTCATGTATTTCTATAATTTCTCGTTTTAATTCAATACTCATCATCTTTTTCTTAGCACTTAACTTTTTACAAACTTTCTTCCGATCCATGGTTTTAAAAATAAATAAACTACAACTGTAAATGTAAGCGCAACACAAAACGCGAAGACAACTGCACAACTTATCACAGTGATGGCGCGACTGCGTGTTACTACTGAACCGAACCGAACCGAACCGGACTTGTATCTCGAATTTCGCTCGTAACTAAAAGCAAAAAATCACTTGCTCGTCGGCTTGTATTTCGAAAAACTCGTATGTTGGGGCATTCGTATGAGATACCACTGTATACATATACATATATCTAAAAAATTATTATATTATCATTCCTCAACTTTTCGCTTCCTATATTTGTTTTGCTTGTATCTATTGTGGCTCATTTCGATGGACTTTCACATTTGTTGTTCGAAATTTGCAAGTCCACAAGTGATGAATGAATCTATATAAAATGTAATGAAAAATCAATTTAAAAAATATGTTTTTAGGTAAATATGTATATATTAAATTTAAGATATAATTTGTTGGACAGCAGAAATTTTGATAGCGGTTCCTTGCCTCTCCTACCGTCCCAGTTACACAAGATCAAGAATTCGTTAGTGTACAGATGCTACAACACATCACATACACTCTCGGAACTGCCTTTCATCCTTAAAACAAACTGTTTCTGTAATTTGAAAATATTATTCAAAGAAATATTGTTTATTGAAGAAATTGTATACATTACTAACCGTTGCTGTAGCAAATTCTTCGTAATTAAGTTTTTCTTCCATTTTCAAAGCTGCAGCTAGTGTTGTTAATGGCAGGGTGGAAGAAATTTCTGTTTGTGTGTTGTCGATTTCTTCGCCAGTCAGTCGGCATACTGATTGGTAAACTTTTCGAATTAGCACCTAACATTCGTGGACGGTTTCTTGTTAAGCCATTTCTTTGCTTTTTTGAATTATCTGAAAACTTAAGTAATACTTAAAAAACAATATCTAAACAATACGTTCTCCTTGTATTGATGAATACTTATAGAACAATAAAAACTTTTATCGACATAAACTTACCTTTTCCTTCAAAAAGCTGTCTATCTTCCTTTCCATATTATCAACTTTTGAAGACAATTCTTGTAGTTGGGTGGAAATAGTTTTTAACATGTTAAAAACATCTGAAAAAGGTATACACATAATAAAGTATTTAATTCAATTTTTAAGAAATGCTTTTTATTGGATTACCCTTTCCATCCACAATCTAATTGTTTACTCGTTGCTTTGAGAAGCTTGCCTCTGAGTGGTAGCAACCAGAAATGTTGAACTTCGTAAAAAAAAATTTAAAACTAAAATTACAATTTTACATGTACCCTTTACGGGAGTCGAAGGCGTTGTTGGGCATTCCTCAAAACAGGTTTCATCGAATAGCGCTGGTGAATCCATCTGATTCAGAAATAAAGATCACAATCAAAATCTACAACTTTTTCATAAACTTCCACAAATTTAGACGCACTTAGATTAAAAGGCTTTTTTCCCGGCACATACATACATACATAAGTATATGGACTAAATGAATTTTTCTTCATATTGAATTATTATTTTCTCTACTCACCCTTTTTCCAAATATTATTGTAGTCACAAAATGTTCACAAATATTAAACGAAACACAATTCGATGAGATTTAAATATTTAATAATTTTGCATAAATATGCACAAGCACAAATCTGCACAATTCGTTTCGCGACGCGTTTGTAACCGATATTTTTTTTCTTCGAATTCAATTTGTCACAACAAACAAGCAAACGTCAAATTCAGGGTATCATGCTGTACGCTTCACATCCATCGTTTTCAATACACGGTGACTTAACATCTATTGAGTCAAGAACTTATAATATGAATAGTAATATAATATTCTACAATAGATTGACTTTGTACTCATTTCAAAGATTTTTGAGGGAGTGTTAGTATCAAATGCGTGTCTTTGTAGTTTGGTTCCTGTACACATGATATCATTAAGACTTCTACCATTGTATGTTTTGTTGTTATATTATATTCTCGAATAACAGCTTGATGAAGTAAATAATATTTACCTTTTTGTTTGTCATCAAATTTTCTCATATGACCACGGTCTATATATTTTTTGATGAAGTTGCTGTATTCTTCTTTGAATTTGTTGTTGCTCTTAAATTTATTTTCCATTGATATCAGACGCGCTACTGCTTGCTTACGTGATTGTCCTAATTCTTTATCTTTTCTGAATGGAAATTCCACAATAAATCTGTCATCTGTATCTCTTGTTTTAGTTTCTTCGTACTGCTTTAAGGTGGTGGTATCTTCTTGTATATCATCATCAGTTAATACGTCTTCGATTTCCCAAAATCGTTCCAAATTAGTTACCGCTATCGTTTCTAGTACCAATACATATTCTCCACTTGTTGTCTTTGCTCTTATTTGAGCTGTAGCAAGTATAACAGCTATTTATCGTGGAGCTATTTACTGTGAAGCTATTTATTGTGGACATATCTTTTGAATCTTCTGCATTGCAGTAAAGTGTTACCTATTATTTTACAGTAGCTGCTTGATTGGACTCGCATTATTCCAGCTATTATCGACTTTGAACATGTAAACAACACACACGATTTTAACTAAGATGTTCTTTATCAGCCACTGTTTTTAATGTTTGAAAGTGTTGATCCAAAAAATCTCTGATGTCCGATAATTATTAAATTTCTCTCGTCCTTTTATCTGTTTGCTCATACAATTTCAGTCCTTCTTTGTCTAACTTCCGGACAATTACACGCACAATAAATAAATCATTCAATGCTTATTCCCAGTGACTCTATAGCGTGAAGACACTCATTTGTTGTATCTAATAGTTGTCTCACGCTTTCAGCATTGTCACTATTTATATTTGGTTTATTCATTATTCTATCCCACTGTGTTGTGAACACCTTTTTTGTCATACCTTTGCTTTAGCAGACTCCGTGCAGCTTTATAATTTTTTGTTGAAATTTGTAGGTGCTGTATTAATCGCGCAGTTTCGCCTTTTAAGTAGAGACGAAGCATTTTTTCTGCGCTCGTCAACTCTTCGTTTATGTGTATCATAAGTATTTCTTGTTATAATTATTTCTTGGTATAAAAAATTGAACATTCTTTAATATCGCCGTAGAATAATGGAATTTTTAATTTTCTAAATCCAAGTTAGGGCAATAAGAAATTGTATGCTCTTCTTTTTGTAATTTCTTTTTTAAATTTTGAAGCTTTTCGTAATATTCGTCATTAATTTTTTTGAATATATCCTAAATTTCTTCATTGAAATCTAATTTGCTTTTTAGATTTTGGATTTCAATGCATAAAAAGTCTAAGCACTTCATTTGATCTTTGTCGATCATTAATTCCAAACTTAGATCTTCTATTTTTCTTCTGAGGTTTTCAAATTTCCGCATGCATATATAGATTTTTTTCGATCTGGACTGTTGTATCGTATTTTACTTCAATTTGCTTATCAAATTCGACTAGAGGTTTGTCTTCTGCAATACTTATCTTTAATGCATGGATTGCCTCGTCAATTTTAGTCATAGTGTTATTATATATGTGACCTGGTCTACGAAAAGGGAGCTAMCGTGCGAAAACTAGTTTTCTGGGAAACAGCTGTTAAAAATCTCATCTTCCATCCGAATCAACTAAAAAGTGAAAATTGATTTTTCGGATTTTTTGACACCTAAGCTCCCTTTCCGTAGACCAGGTCACATATAGTCTTCTTGAAGTAATCTTCTTCTTCTATCCCATGCACCATTAGCTTTTCGTGGTTGGCATCGAACTCTTTGTGGTACTTTCCAAGAGCTTTAATGCTTTTCTCAATTTTTGTTTTCCTTAAAGCCTTTGATGACATAGTCGTGGACGTGTACAACACCTTTTCGACTAAATCTGCTTAGGCTTGATACCCATTTTGAGAATTTTTCGCAATACTTCTGCTATTTCTTATTCTCCAAAGAAATCGTTTTAGGTATTTTTTTGGTCGCCTCGTTGACCTTGCTGTGCCTCGACTCACAGCCGCTGAATATTTCTTGGATAGCAGTTAAATCCCTGCGTTTAGTCTCTGCTTAAACAGCTAATGTGATCAATTTAATATGCAGGAATATATAACCGTCCTACAATTATTATTATTTATTTATACACCCGTCCTACAATTAAATTTTGCCTGTATTTTTAATAATATCAGGGCTTTTTTGAATTTGGCTCTTTTTTATCGATAGGACCAATTGTTATAAACTCAATGAAGATTTTATCAAACCTTATGACTTGTGGTGGGAAATGAAAAGACCTTCACTGGGCTGAAAATTATTTCCTTTCGATTTTATTTTGGTATTTTCATTACTTAAATACTATTTTAGAAAACTATATTAAATAGCTAATATATGTGTATTTGTGTATGTATGAATGGATGTATGTATTGCAGCATATTCCCTGCCAGCCAAAAGTGGTGAAAAAACAGTAGGTTTTGAAACCCTCAGAAGTAGTGAAAAGTGGTGAGCTCGCTATAGGCCGCGTGAAGATTCTAACCACATGTGATCACACATCTCTGTGTGGTATTCAGCAGTGTCATATAAATTATTTATGTAAAAATATAGCTGAACTACTATAATTACCCTAATCGTCATCTGAAGCGGGTTGCATTTTTTGATTCCTTTTTTGTAGAATTCTAAGCAAATAGTTCAAATATAAATTTTTTCATTTTTATTTACTAATAATGTCTGAAAATAAAGAATAATTAAATAGAATTAGATAGAAAAGAAAGATTTGTTATATAAAACAGTCCCCGACTAATATTCGTGTCGAGCAGTTGTGTCGTTGTTATCTCCGAGTTTCCGCTAATCATTTAGCAACCCGCGAGTGCTTCTACTTTGCTTAAGCTACTCTTGCAAACATATTTGGCTTGCCGTATATAAAAAACGCCTCAATGACTCCATCCATGTCACCCTCAGCAAAACAAATCGATTCCAGTGTTCAATTAGATGAGTTTGAGTATGCTCTATCCGGAGTAAGCGGCAAAACCCCCGCTTTAGATAAAATATCTTACYCTATGATCAAAAACATGCCAATTGAGCTCAAGCAATGAATCGTCAAACTTTACAATAAAATACTGGACACCGGTATTTATCCCCAATTTTGGAAGCCATCGGGCGTAATCCCTATTCTTAAACCCAATAAAGAATCAACAGATATCGACAGCTATAGACCAATCTCTCTCCTACCATGCTTAGGCAAACTTTTCGAAAAAATAATTGCGAACCGGATATCGTGGTACGCCCAGCGGAATGAGTTGATGACACCTAATCAAGTCGGTTATAAAAGAAGCCAAGGCACGTTGGATGTATTACTCCACCTCGACCACTCCATCTGCAACGCTCTGTCCAGTAGGAATCATTTATCTATATTATCCTTAGATTTCAACAAAGCCTTTGGTAAAATCGGCACCCACATTGTGCTGCGGCAATTAAAAAACTGGAAGAAAATTTTGAATTTCGTTAAAAGCTTACTCACTAACCGTAAATGGAAAGTAAATGTTAATGGATTCTTCTCCTCCACACTTCCACTCTCAAATGGCACGCCGCAAGGTTCGCCACTTTCAGCATTCCTCTTCATCACTGCCTTTGATGAGATAAGTCGAATAGTAAACACGCACAAAGGAATCGAGCACCAAATGTATGCAGATGATGTCGTAATTTACACCAATCGTTCCGTCCTCAACGCAGCCGAACATACATTTTCCAATGTCCTCGATGAAATCTCTGAATGGTCGCTAGTTTCCGGTGCACAGCTATCACTAGAAAAAACKCATATCCTCCATATATGCAGAAAAACAAATTGCAGCGGAATAAAACTTTGCTTTAACAACACTAACATAGAATGTACAAAAGAATTAAAAATTCTAGGATTAGTTTTTGACTCGAAGTATAACTTTAATTCGCATTGTAAATACATTAGAAACCCTTTCCAATCAAGATTAAACATTGTAAAATATCTTCGTCAAAATACTCGTTAATACATCCAAATACGCTCATCAGTGTTGTCAGATCACTTCTCCTTTCAAAGATCGACTATGCGCTTCCGCTTTACGGACGAAGTTCGAAGAACAACATCAAGCTTATATGTGCCCCATACCACTGCGCGATACGCCGTAGCCTCAGAGCTTTTCCAACATCACCAACTGAAATCATTCTTGCGGAGTCAGGTCTACCAAGTGTACAAAATAGGATTGAAGACGCAACCCACCGACTGCTATCAAAAGGGGTTGAAAGCACAAACTCATCGCTGACCAAGGCCTTTGCTACTTCGCTGAGGCGTACCAGGCTACCAAGATTTCTTTCAGCAATAACAAAATGCGTTATGTTAGCAAAAAAAAATTTTTCTTCCACTGTCTGTGGGGAAAAAAGTAAAGCCCCTTCATCCTCATTGGCTAATCCCGTGTGAATCACTCCCTAACAAACTATCCAAGCTGCCCAAACAGAACACAGCAAGCGATGTTTTCAAAAAAACGTTTTTTGGAATGGAGCATGAATACGAAAAAAATTGCTGGAAGTTGATCTTCACAGACGGATCTAAGTCATCCGAATACACCTCCTTTTCCGTGGTCACGAAAACAGGTAATACAATCTGCAACTGGCATCTTCCTCATATGTGTTCGGTTTTCTCAGCAGAGGCATCTGCCACATTGAAGGCGGTCGAGCATGCAAAAAAACACAATGGTAAATACCTCATTTGCACCGATACCAAGTCTTGCATCTCAGCCATTAAGTCGTTATCAAATTACAATCCGATAATAAGCAAAATCAGAGACGTCGTGATCAGCGCTCCGAGAAAAATCAAAATAATGTGGATTCCGGGCCACGTGGGAATACCCGGCAATCACCTCGCTGACGCCGCTGCCAAAAGTGTCAAAAACATACCGGCTCTTATTTACAACTATCTTTCGAAATAAGACATACGCAACTTCATCAAACACAAGAAGCTCGAAGAAAACTTAAATGCTTGGAAACTACACACGCACAGTTACGCCATCATCAACCCAGATAGAATACCAACCTTGTATGGGCCCACCACGAAAATAAGCGCCATCAAAGCATACACTCGCCTCAGGATCGGACACACCATCCTAACTCACTCGAATATACTTATGGGAAAAT